TGACTTTCCCATTCCACTGTCTAGTGTAATGGTTCCCTTCATCCACGCTCTGCCTTTTCTAATATGGTAGGGACATATGGTAGGGAATGCTACACTGTTACGTCTTCAAAAATAAAATTTTGTCTTTTGCATGTTAATTGGCCCTAGACTATTTGCACATTATGACAAAGCTGTAACACCCTTGGAAGTCTCAGCAAGCATCCCAGATATCTGCTGATGCCTCTTCTGTGGCTAAAAAAAGAAAAGGTAAGTCCAGACCCAGCCTGGGTCTCCTGTGAGACTTCACTGTCTGTTTAAATATATTTTCTTTTTTCAGCTTTTAATATGGTGATCAAATGATCAAACTTTTCCTAAGTGCCATTAAAAACAAAAAACTAAAACCATGAATAAGGTTATTTGAAGAGTCAAGAGCTATCAAAATATAAAAATTCTACAAATGATACAAAATTCATGGAAACTCCTTGCAACTTCAGAGATTATTTTTTGTTCCTGCTGCTCTAATGTGATAGACAGGCAGATTCTTTTTGTTGGGAAAAGTTTTATGTAAACCTTTACAACCAGGAGAGAACATCAGAAGACTGATGTTGCTTATGTCTTTGCCATAAGCTTCATGTAATTGCCTTTTATTTCACAGAATCACAGAATCACAGAATGGTTGAGGTTGGAAGGGACCTCTGGAGATCATCTAGTCCAACCCCCCCGATCAAGCAGGGTCCTCTAGAGCATATTTCCCAGGATCACATCCAAATGGGTTTTGAATATCTCCAGCGAAGGAGACTCCACTACCTCTCTGGGCAACCTGTTCCAAGTGCTCTGACACCCTCACAGTCAAGAAGTTTTTCCTCATGTTCAGATGGGACCTCCTGTGTTTCAGTTTCTGCCCATTGCCACTTGTCCTGTCCCTGGGCACCCCTGAGAAGAGACTGGCCTCATCCTCTTGACACCCCCCTTTCAGATACTTCTACACATTGATGAGATCGCAGTCAGTCAGTCTTCTCTTCTCCAGGCTGAACAGGCCCAGCTCTCTTAGCCTTTCTTCATGAGAGAGATGCTCCAGTACCCTCATCATCTTTGTAGCCCTCCGATGGACTCTCTCCAGCAGTGCCATGTCTCTCTTGGACTGGGGAGTCCAGAATTGGACACAGTACTCTAGGGGAGGCCTC